ATACGTTAACGTTAATGTTATCAGTTGAATAGTTATTGTAAAAGTTGAGTTGAAATAAATTGAGATACCAAAAACCTGCGTAGCAATATTAAAAAAATCACTGGCATTCAATATGTTTATAATCTTGATAAAATATATAAATTTATAAACAAAACATGTAATTTTAACTCATGTATACTTTTTCTATATTTTGCGAAATTCCTCGCACTATATTTCTGTAGGTTGAAAACATTGAGCTGGAGACAAGCTTTATCAGGACCCTACGTTTTCATTCGGTCGTATCGTCTTCGTATCTGATGTTTACCCAATGACAGTCTCCCTATATAATTAGGTTTCGTTTTCATTCAGATCCAATAAATTCCAGCTTTATTAATTGTTTGTTTAAACACTTTTAGTAAGATCAAGAGGCGTTGATACAACAGATGTAGGATATTGAATACCGTGGAATGACTTTCAGGGATTGGCAAAAGGGATGAAGTAAAATAATTAAAAAGATTATTTTACTTATAGCTGGCTGGCGCTATGTTAATTATTATCTTGTACAGTTAGAATAGGCATTTTCTAATATTCATTGATGCCATCTAGCATCCATCAAAACCCTTCTTTAATTTATCAAACATGTTAAATTCTACGTAATTTTTAGATGGTTGTCACCAAATCCATCGACTCGACTGTGTTGATGCACTGATGGATTACGTAACATACCCTTAAATTATTATTTATTATCAAACAGATAAGAAAACAGGAAAAGTTTACCCAAAATATTTAATAATACGAGTGAAAAACACACTAACTTTTAAAATTAGATTGTCAGCATTAAATATACAGCAAGAAAATAAAGACAAGTACATATTTTTTCAATTATTGTATTATCAGTACTTGTTTTTAGTTTTTATGCTTATTAAAAAGTGCTTAGACATTTCTTTTCATTAAAAAAAGATAGTTTAACAGTTAAGATTACAAATTGGAGAGTTATTACAAATTTCTATACCGTCAGCCACTACCACAAACCCGAGAATACCGATCAAGGAGAAGCGACAGTAGCTGTCGGTGCCTTTGATATCGGATGTACCTTTTTCACAGTATGACTTTGACTGATACACAACTTAGCACGCTGAGAAAACATGATTATTTTCTACACTGAGCGAAATAGTTTGGCAAATTATCTGAAATTATTGTTATAGTCCATGCGTAAATGTTGCAATGTGATTTAATTACATTGACGTAGTTAGGGTTAATAGCAATGCTGAAATTTCGGCACCAAAATATAATTCATTATGTAATAATTAAATATTTATTATAAAAGTAAAAGACGTTTATTATTTTATAATTTATCTATAAAATTTGTTCAATATGTGGTTTATTTATTGTTAAAAATGTAATAAAAGCCCCATATTTAAATTAAATTACCTTTTCCTTAACTAAAAATAAGGTAAATAAAATTAAGGTTGTCAAAAAAAAATTTGGTAACAATTAAAAAGACATTAAGTTTGAGAGGTTTAACTAAATATTTGCAACGTGCATATATTTTCAAAGCTTTTAGGTTTAAAAAGTACATATTTTTAGAATTTCTAGATTTATATTATATTAAAAGGACTTTCAAGTTTATCACTCATTTCTGTAGAAACAAGTGTTTTCTCGCCAAGTTAAACCAGATGTCATTTAAGGTTTATGTATTTAGAGTTAAATACCTGGCCTGGCTATTACCCAGACAATACAAATATGTCCATTGGACGTCCATTCGATATACAATTTTGGATGTCTAGACGTCCAAAAATGAGTTTTCTGGACTTCCGACATCCCAATGGACGTCCAGTGAAGTATACAAATGGCACACTTTTGACCATTCAGAGGACGTCCAATTCTGGAATATATTTGGACGTCGAATACTGGACATTCAAAAACGTCCAGGGTTATATTTCCATTGAGACCACATCCCCACTTTTTTACAGAACCGCAACTCACTACACACTATTTTATATTATTAATAATTTGTTTATTATTTTCGCAAATCGCTATACACCATTTATTTATTTATTTTTTATTAAAAATCGCTTGACCTGAGCAGGAATCAAACTCACGACACATCCATTATCGTTTTACGCTTTCAATCGCTAGACGAGCTCGACCAAGGAACCACTTGAACACTTTTTACTAGATACAGTTATAATTGAATGAGATTTCAAACTTCCGCTGATAGAATGAAATGCAATAGATTCAATTTGTTAATTTTTAATGAACAGTTATATTAAAAAAAAGAAGTATATATAGATGGGAATTATCTGGTAGGCTTAATAAATAATGACCTAAGATGGACGTCCACTGGACGTCAAAATACTACTGAACTTAAAATTAAGTCCAAAAACAGACGTTCTCTGGGTATCGATATTCAGCTGTCAATTTAATTAGCATAAACGGACGTACACTGGATGCCCGGATATGGACGTCCTGACCCTCAAATAGATCTAAAGTGGACGTCCATTGGACTATGTTTGCACAGACAAATTTTTAGAAATAGTACTTATTTAAGTATGCACCAATATTTCCAAAATCAACTCCAGTATGATTCATTCAATAAATGTAAATATGAATGGGCAAAACATCTTTATATTGACATAATTGTAACTTAGCCAATTTAGCCATATTAAAGGGATTTTGCCCACTTTGACCAATCCTAATTGAAATACGCGAATTTATTATATTTTTTTAAATATAATTTTAAAATAAAATAAACAAAATCTGCAGTTCATTGTTTATTAAATTTATTTAAAAGAAGAAAAACATATATTTCACAAAATACAATACCTACATATGAAAAATAAAATGTTAAAAATGATTAAATCATTATAATTAATATTTATGCATGTGATAAAATTTTTAGTTTCCTAATAAATTTTTTGGCATATTTTATATCTGTATTAGAATACCTAAGTGTGTAAAAATCTTCATCTTATTACTACACAAAACAAACACCAAAAAATATCACAACATTGCTCACGTACTAAATACAACTTGGACTGACTTTGACAGATAACATAATTTTGAGTGATACACAACTTATTTTCGCACATGCGCGTTACAAAACGGTACACTGAAAACACCAAGCTGTCGCTTCTCCTTGATCGGTATTCTCGGCACATACTTTGATTACTATACGGTGCAAGAGAGAGGTCCGATACGCCCAACGCCATTTTGATTCCTATGCCACAGTTTATAGATAAAGAATCAGATCGCTCACTCTGCGTCGGCACTTTTGATCTCAATGTTCCAGTTTATATACTGCTCAACTCGGATAATACAATATATGTCAACCGCCTATAATAAAACAGCAGTCTTCTGCGTATCCTGAATTTGTATCCCTGGAGTGGATGTTATTTTGGAACTTTCAACTGGTCCGAGTGAGCTAACTGATTCTTTAGCAATAAACTGTGACTCCAAAAATAATATTCACTGACACTGACAGCAGCAAGTAAAATATCAGGTGCGTTTTAATCATCCGCTTCTGCTTCCGGAATTGTCGGTTCAGTCGTTCTAACCTGTCAGATTAAAACAAGAAAACCGACAATTCCGAAGCAGAAGCGGATGATTAAAACGCACCTATTAAAAATATTGCGCCACACATACTTTGATTTTCTTTACGGAGAATGGTCGCACTGCGCAGCTTTCTGAGTGCCTTTTAAGAGGAGATAGAAAACTCCGCCATTTTGAACCCTTATTACGTGTTGCCTATATCTTAATCTGACAGGTTAAAACGAATAAACCGACAATTCCGGAAGCAGAAGCGGATGATTAAAACGAACCTGATATTTTGCTTGCTGCTGTCAGTGTCAGTGAATATTATTTTTGTAGTCACAGTTTATTGCTAAAGAATCAGTTAGCTCACTCGGAGCAGTTGAAAGTTCCAAAATAACATCCACTCCAGGGATACAAATTCAGGATACGCAGAAGACTGCTGTTTTATCATAGGCGGTTGTCATATATTGTATTATCCGAGTTGCATAGTGTATAAACTGAAACATTGAGATCGAAAGTGCCGACGCAGAGTGAGCGATCTGATTCTTAAGCTGTAAACTGTATCACAGGGTTCAAATGGCCGCGCCCTATGTTGGGCGTGTCGGACCTCTTTCTTGCCTCGTATAGTAATCAAAGTATGTGTTGCGCCAAGATGTAGGCAACACGTAGTAAGGGTTCAAAATGGCGGAGTTTTCTATCTCCTTTTAAAAGGCGCAGTGCGACCATTCTCCGAATAGTAAAGAAAATCAAAGTATGTGTTCAACTCGCATTGTTCAATCAGGCCCAAGTGTGACCAATCTTGTTTATTTCTAGGAATAAATTGTTTATTTTTTACTCAATAAAAAAGTATTATTATGTGTGAGTTTTTGTTTTGCTATTATTTTTTAACATTTCTTCTTTTACTGGCCACGCAACATGCCTCTTAAATAGTTCGAAAAAATTTTGGCAGATTTATATAAATATTTGATGGCAATTCCCCTTGCTAACTTCTAAAAGCATCTAGATTAGAATCTATAGATCTCATGCTTGGTCTCCCAGAAAGAATAAGGTTTCTTTCAAGTTTCAACTTTTGGCACAAGTTGTAAAAACAAGAAATTTCAAAAGAAAGTTTAAATTACTATATAATGTCGTTAGTTTTATTTAATCTGAAGTACTACCTAAACCCTATATCATATTTTAAAGCTTATATTCTCCGCATAGTTTAAAATTAAAATTTCGTCATCAGAGCTGCTGGAGGAAGTATGTACTACTATATCTACTTCTACAAGTCTAGAAGCAATTAATGCAGCAATACTCATGAGTAAACTTTTTTTAATTTTCTAATTTAAATATTAACCGCAAACCGCAATATCTCATAAATGAAAAATGACACATCTAAATGCTGTCCTTTTATTCCATCGGTAAAGAATCTAATACGTCATTGACAAGCATCAATGACGAATTTCCGCTCAAAAAAACTCGCCTTCTGTTTTATTATTCCCACTTCTAGGTCGGTCCTGTACATCGACCGCAAAAAAAGAGAATTTTTTTTTGACGTTTGTATATACAATTTTTGTTATGTCAGTGTTTTAATAGGAATCATCTACGTATTTTTTTTTATAATCGGGAACAATACAAATATTTTTATTAGGATTTCAAGAAAATGAGAGTATATTAAATATCTAGCAAATCATTATATTTACTGTTGATTTTAATGAAATTATAGTACTTGAATGAAAATTATGTAAGTATTGATTTTATTTATACTTTTACATTTATAAATACTCAGTAAATCCTTAACTATCTTATATACAAAAAATCAATGTAGGAGTACTTGATATGTTATTTCTAACCATATCCATAGCTTTGCAGCCAATGAATGATTTATAGCGCCACCTACGGCTCGTGTCCAAAATACTTCGTTCTTCTGACATCCATAATTATATAATCTTTTGAATAATATTGATAAGACGCCCTTTTATTAAAATATAATTATTTTACAAAACTTACATTTTAGGTTATAGGAAGGATACTATTTTTCAATTGTACCATCGGAAACCCCATAAATTATTTTTTTTTAATTTACATATGAAAGGCTTATAAAGAACATAAGGTGATCATTTGTTCATCAAATTTCTAGAGGTGTTCGACGCCCAGACAGAGAACGCGCTACGTGTGACTAAGATAGCTATTGTACAGTCTGCTAAACAAGTTATTTTAAATAGTTTTTAATATTTTTAGGTAATTAAATTTTAAAAGTGTGGAATAGTTTAGGGATTAAATTGGTCTGATTGGACTTTCTTAGAACGTTTTTAAAAGCAGCTAAAGATAGTATGTAGAATTGAAAATAATTATTATGCCATAAAAGGTGTTTTGGAATTCCTTCAACCTTTTGAAATTGAGTCAGAAAATATAAATTTTATAGGATAGCGGAAAATACCTATAATTTTTTTGTAGGCCTTTGTAAATCGTGAAAATAGTTTATATTTTATTTCTACCTTATTAAGGAAAATGGTACCTATTATTAATAAGGGTTGTTTCTGAAACATTACTAAAATTTTCGAAATTTTGTTTTTCTACAAAATAATAAACTATACTATTTAGAAAAAAATTTATTTCTCTTATAATTTTATAAAAAATAACAGGGGAATATTTACATTTCTTCATCTATTAAACAAAACGATAAATTATCTCGACGAATGACACCATGTTCTAGTACGGAAGCTAGCTTTACATTTTTGTTGGTGGTTTCATGGGTTTCATATCAATTTTTTGTAATTGTAGTTTACACGTACATATACCTCTTAACACTTGTTTGCTTTATTAAAAAAGTGTGTTGTTGTGATTTACGTCGAAATAAGTCAAAAACAACTTGAAACCCCATATAAAATCAAAAAGGAGAAACGGAAAAAAATTGAGCCTGTAAATGAACACAACTCAGAAACAAAAATAGCTATCTAATAATAAAAAAATAAAATTTGATTCTTGTGCAGCTTCATCTATATCATTAACTGTTTTTGGTTTTTTAATGGTTTTTCTTGGTGATGAAAATTCCGATATCTCACGGTTATCGATTCTTTTTTTCTCTCCAGAAATGCGGACGACAGTGTTTTTAGATACTCCTGTGGCTGCAGCAACACGATCATTTACATTTTTAAATGGTATTGAAGGTGAATTAAAGTTTCCTTCTCTTCTCATAAACTCTATAACATTGGCTATTATTTCGCGAGATTGACTGTTAATCACGCGGCCTCTTAATTTGCTATTAAACTCCATACTTAGGTTCTATTAAACTGTAATGAGCAAAAAACAAACGAAAATAAAAGAAATGTTTTAGCGAAATTTACATCTGACATTTACGTCTGAATGAAATAGTGAAATACTTGATGCGCAGAGTGTACCTTCATTGAGTAAATCCGTCGGGATGCCTGTCAGTAGTGCTTTCTCTGTCTAGCCGTCGAAAGCCTCTAGAAATTTGATGAACTGTAGGTTAACTTTTTCATTAAAATTTACTGAATTTACTTTGATTTTATTTTACTATACGAAGAATGGTCGCACTGCGCAGCTTTCTGAGTGTCTTTTAAAAGGAGATAAAAACTCCGCCATTTTGATCCCTTCTTACGTGTTATCTACATCTCGGCGCAATATTTTTAATAGGTGCGTTTTAATCATCCGCTTCTGCTTTGGAATTGTCGGTTTTCTTGTTTTAATCTGACAGGTTAAAACGACTTAACCGACAATTCCGAAAGCATAAGCGGATGATTAAAACGCACCTGATATTTTGCTTGCTGCTGTCAGTGTCAGTGAATATTATTTTTGAAGTCACAGTTTATTGCTGAAGAATCAGTTAGATCACTCGGACCAGTTGAAAGTTCCAAAATAACATCCACTCCAGGGATACAAATTCAGGATACGCAGAAGACTGCTGTTTTATTATAGGCGGTTGTCATATATTGTATTATCCGAGTTGCGCAGTGTATAAACTGGAACATTGAGATCAAAAGTGCCGACGCAGTGTGAGCGATCTGGGGTGGGATTCCGTTTCACGATTCGACTCGAATTTGATATCAAACTCCATAAAAGCAATTCCGTTTAACGAGTAGTCGATTCGATATCAAATCGTTAAAGTTGGATTATTCTGACATTAGGTATGACCTGTCAATGAGGTTAAATAATAAGCCTGTGGCTTAAAATTTTAGGGAAAAAAGTAATTTAGTTTCCAGGACATACCTATGTCTCTGGCAATGTCTTTTCTGGATAACCTATCGTGCAACAGAGGTGTTTTATATCCTTGAAATATCAATAAAAGGATTAGTTATTATACAAAACGATACAAAATATAAACATTTATAAGTTCTCTTTATTCAGCTGAAAAAGTTCTCCACGACGATTTTCTGGAAGTTCAAAAGGATCGTTTCTTTTTTGTAACTCGTCCTTTCTTTAGTCTAATAATAATAAATAATAATATTTTTATAATTTAACAACCCATTATGAGTGATCTTTGTAACTCTGAATGCAGAGTTGTTTGTACCCGGTGAGGGATGACTATTATTATTTGCCATGGCTCTCCGAGGCCACTTACAGATGTCATTTGAATTAGAGATGAGGATACCCCGGAAAAACCCCACACATAAGCATAAAAACTAATAAATAATTACAATTTAATTTTTGTTGTTTGACGTTAAAAGTCGTGACATTCTGTTCTGTGTCGAGTAACTTGACACTGTTTTTTAGCCACCACATTGGTTTAAAATATTTTTTAAACCATATTTAAAGTGACGTCATGAATTAGTAGATGGCAAAAATAGGGTGTTTTAAAAATATAACCTGCTATCATATGACAAAATTTTTAAATATTCTGATTTCGATCGTATTTTTTTTTTTTGATGGATTACTGGTTGAAATCAGTTCTAGAAAGGAGAAGCGAAGTCGATTTAAAAAATTAAATGAATTTTTTTTTAATAATTCTTAAATCAAATGAAGGAAGATGAGTGTTTGATAGCAATTTTATTTAAAAATTGAAGTGTTTTTGATAGGTACATTGCAATCTGAAACGTTGTTTATTTTATTTTTGGTATTTTTCTTGTCAATAAACTTGGCATCATATTTATTCCGTAGCTCCAACAAATACGCTGTAGATTTTTTGGGCTTTTCCAAAGTTCACCAATTGCCAAAGAACGTTTAATTGCTTTTAAATATTTGCTGGCAAATTCAGAATCTGAAGCAAACTACTTAATTATTTTTGCAAAAAATTTATAACTAATAAGTCATCCTTTAACCTTATTTTAATTGAATTATTGTTTCATAATCAAGAGTAACCCAGAGATAAGAGTAACCTATAGGTTCGACTGTTTTTATGATGACCATAAATATGAATATTGATCACATAATATATGTATGAAGTTATCAAAAATCAATAAAAATCAACAAAACGTCAAATATATCAAAATGTTCAAAGATGGAACAGAGCAAAACAACATACAACAGCCAAAATCAGAATCTCTTATGTGTCAACCGTTATTGAACCATATGTCTCCGACTGGTTCAAAAATTCTAGCTTTGGTTTAAAATATTTCATACGCGACGTCATAGTTGCATCGCTAAAATTGAAACGGTTTAAAACAGTCAAAAATATTTTAAACCAAACACTCGCTAAAAAATACCTATAATTCGATCGAATTAAAAACAGCGATTCTATAACTCGATCTGTTTTGACTTCGGAAATCTTCGGAAATTCGACAAAATAATGAAGCATTCAAACTATTCTGACTTTTAAACATCAAACAACAAAACTTGAATTGTATTTCTTTAGTCTTGACGTAAATTATTAGGTTTTATTTTTATGGGTGGGGTTCTTCCGTAGTGTTCTTATTTATAATTTGAATGACATCTGTAAGTTGCCGCGGAGCGCCAAGGAAAATGATAATAGTCGTCCCTCCCCGACAACAATTAAATTGTATTGTATTTGGTTTAGCTTGTTTAGCCATAAGATTAATAATTTATTTTTTTATGATGATGCTTGGGGTTTTTTCTGGGTATTCTCATCTATAAGTTAGATGACACCATCTGTAAGTTCCATAAACTGTGGCATAGGAATCAAAATAACCGCGCAATATGTTGGGCGTGTCGGACCTCTCTCTTGCACCGTATAGTAATCAAAGTATGTGTGATAAGTCTTTAAACTTTGCTGGCAAGCGTCATTTGTCAAACAAATAAATACACTTGTTTCAAAAAAGTTTTAAACACTTTTGGACAACACGAAGTAATAATTATGATTAAAAGTTTAAGAAAAGTACATTGTTTACTACTTTATACAAGGTGGCGTACAATAAAGTCCCTTATTTGTTTTTTATATAAAAGTAAGATTAATTAAAAAACAGTCATGTTGTAAATGAAAAATATTTATGTAAACTCTAGAAATTTGTTTTGTTACACACTAAAAACAATATCGACCAAATGGCCACCCTTAGCATTAATGCAATAATGAGCTCTTTTTAAAGCATTTTTCATAACTTTCTCCAACATTTCAGGTGGTATTCTGTCAATTTCCTCCTGGATGTTGTCTTTTAATGCTTCTAGTGTTCAAGAATTATTTACTAATACCCTGTCTTTGAGACAACCCCATAACCAAAAGTTTGGAACAGTTAAATCTGGAGACCATGGGGGATATGCAATATCGGCGTTTTTCGAGATAAGGCATCCAGGAAAAATTCTGTTCAAAATGGCTATTGTCTCACGGGCCGT